TGTGAGGTGGGTTTCTATAAGCCAGTAGCAGGTGATGGGTTGTGTGGAAAGTGTCCTCTACAAAGCCACTCAGAGACCAGAGCTGCCCTCTCCTGCCCCTGTGACTCCAGCCATTACAGAGCCCCCATCGACCCCCTTGCTGCACCCTGCACACGTACGTCACACACACACACAGAACACCCATACACAACAACCATACATGCTGCACCCTGCACCTATCTCTCTGAATGACCTGGGTGAAATAGAAGCACATTCCACTTTTTCAGGTGCTAGGCAGGAAAGAAATACATGAAAACTTGAAATATACACCTCTTTCTCTCTCTCCTCCCTTCTAATTATTCTCTTCCCTCTCTTTTTATATCTCTCCTCTCCTCAGGCCCCCCAACAGCTCCAGTAAACGTGATATCATCAGTTAACGGGACGTCAGTGAATCTGGAGTGGGGGCGACCGCTGGACTCTGGGGGTCGCAGTGACCTGCTGTACAGTGTGCTCTGTCAGAAGTGTTCTGGGGAGGGGGGACAGTGTGAGGACTGTACAGCAGGGATGGGGACAACCGGTGGGGGAGGGGGGGTGGGAGGAGGGGGTGGAGGGACAGTGGAGCGCGCGGGTGTGGTACCGGTGCGGTTTGTTCCCCGGCGGAGCTCTCTGACCGAACCCTGGGTGACTGTTCTAAACCTGGTTGCCCACGCCAACTACACCTTCCGTATCCTAGCGATGAATGCAGTGACTCACCTGAGCAACGAGCCGCTGCCCTTCTCCTCTGTCAACATCACTACGAACCAGGCAGGTAGGGGATACCTGTATGGATTTATTACATAACATTTTAGGCATGAAGGTTCATTTACATGTGAATCAAAGAAATACAGTTTACTTAGAATTAAAAACGACATCTCAACAGCTACAGTAGGTTACATTATCCTATATGATCTCTATTGGATTGTATTGCTGTGTACAAATAGCGCTGCCCTGTCTGTTCTGGTTCTCTGTTCATTTATGTGTCTGTGTACTTCCTGTTTCTTGCTTCCTGTTCAGCCCCCTCCCAGGTAATTGCGATACGCCAAGAGAACGCAAGTCAGAATAGTGTCACTCTGCTGTGGCACGAACCAGACCAGCCCAACGGAGTCATACTGGAGTATGACATCAAATACTACGAGAAGGTACAGTAGATAAATACTGTGTGTGTGTGGGGGCTGATCTGGGCTGATAGGTGAAAGTGACAGTGGCAGTGAGCGTGTGGGTAAGCCTGGAAGCGCCGGTGTGGTACCGGTGCTGTGTTGTTCTGCATTAGTGTGGCTGCTGTGTTGGTGTCTTAATCTGGCCAAACTCCTGGGGTTACTGCTAAGGTGGATGTTAGTCAGAAATGTAAACACAGCTTTGTATAGACAGCCTTTTTCACATCTCTCCTGTGCTCCCCCTTCCTCCCCTCCCCTCCCCTCCCCTCCTCTCCTCCTCCTTAACCCCTCCCCTCCACCAGGATAAGGAGCAGCAGAGTTACTCCACCCTGAAGGCCAAGGGGACCACGGCCCGGGTGTCTGGCCTGAAGCCCGGTACCAGGTACATCTTCCAGGTCCGGGCCAGAACCTCGGCAGGCTGCGGACGCTTCAGCCAGAACGTGGAGATCCAGACCGGGAAAGCAAGTAAGATAATGAGAGAGGAGCACCATGGAGCAGTGACCATCAATAAAACAATAACAAAACACGAAGGTTTCAAAGTGCATTGTTTTCTATGGGTGCCAACTCACCTCACCCAACACCACCTATCTGAGTGATGCACAACCCACCTGGTCCCACCCAGCGATGCACGACCCACCTGGTCCCACCCAGCAATGCACAAGTATTTGTACACATTCCTAGTAACTATAGAGAGGCTTGATAAAAGTGTCTGTTGGTAGATATGTGGACTACTGTGTAAACCTGTCAGCCACAGGGGAGTTAGTGTATGTTAACCCAGATTATACAGCATGATACTGGTTAAAGAGCCATGAGTGTCGGTGGGACCAGGAAGTCTTCAGACAATCCCTTAATGTTATTGATCTGTGCTTTGTGTGAGGGTCACCCCTGTCAGGAAATCTGCTGCTGATCCAAGCCTCAAAGAGCACTGAACACACACACACACATACACGCACGCTCACGCTCACACACACAGGTTCCGCATTTTAACACACACACACTCACACACACTGTCTTTGTCTCTCTCTCTCTCTCTCTCTCTCTCTCTCTCTCTCTCTCTCTCTCAATTTCACTCTCTCACACACATTCTCACAAACACTGTCTCTCTCTCACTCTCCCACTCTCACACTAACTGTTTGTGTTGTTGTGTGTCCAGTTCCTCTGCGCTACGACACTATGACCATCATCTGGATCTGTATGGTTCTGGTCTCTGGCCTGGTCACCTTCCTGGCCATCGTCATCTGCAGGAAACGGCAAGGCAACCCTTTCTTACACTACACCACTACCCGTGATGTGGATGAGTCCTCTCTGACTCTACGTCATTCATATACGTATGTGGGATATTTTTTTACACTACCTCAACGAGGGTTCAAGTAAATGTTACCATCGTCTCCATAGGATTAATTTATAGTAGGGTTAATATTTATATTAGTATTTTTTGTTGTTCTTTATCTGCCTGTGATGTCCTATACCCATATGCATTGAAATCCATAGGATCACCTCTAAACCCGATAGGCTCTTATGCTACGGTAACTGTTTCCATGGTGTGTCTGTCTGCAACCTCAAAGCCCCACAGCACTGTGATATGTCCATCATACAGGAAACCAAGGAGAAAATCTCTCTAACGTTGTTCCACTAATGGTTTTAATTAGTACAGAGTAGTTCTCACTCTAGATTACAGCCTGCGTTTACAGTGGAAAGTCAAGTCATCTCACAGAGTTTCTGCATAGGTAATGTTCAGACCCAGCTGAGTTTTGTAATTCTAAACCAAGGGACCAGGGTTCCGGTCTAGAAGCACGGTTTCGACTGCTCCTACAGTTTTGCTTCTGTACTGCAGTTTAACTGACGCCCGGCCCAGAAAGAAAATTTCCTAATAAGGCACTTTAGTCATCACCTTTGTGCACAAAACATCCATTGAATTATTCAAATAATAATTGAGGCCAATCTTTTTTTTTTTATCACTCACAGCCGAAGATACAGTATTAACATTTTATATTCATCCAATATCTGCCATATTTGTGGATGACGTAATGACGTTGTCACTGCTCATGCCGCTCCCTGTGCGCACTGAGTGCTAATGCACATGTGATGTTGGTCCGTATAAACCGGATGCAACTCGGATATACAGTAGACGGTCCGTGAATCGGCGTACGTGAACGTAAGTAGATTACCTTAAAAACAACGGGCGGACATTTTGGACACAGTCTCCAGTTCTTATTATACCTCAGTGTCCTAAACAGTGAGTTTAATTATAATGGCGATTCATTTTGGTTAAGTAACAATGCAATTGTTTTTTACGTATCCCTCTCCTTCAATTCCCTCTTCTGAGGTCTACAACTCTTCCACAAATAATTAATTCATTGCGTTTAATTATTTCCATCTTCAATGCATGTTAACGTTTTCAAGCCAAGCTCATTTGGAATGGGAAGCTAAAAAGAGTGGAAAACAGTGAGAAGTGTGTATCCCCGTGTGACTCTAAACTATTCTGAAGACTTACATTTTTAAAAGGCCTTTTAGTGTGAATGAACTGCTATGATGAGACTGAAGAGTTTTGACAGACAACGTGATGCTCTATATAAACCACACAGCAGAGAAGACTTGGAAATAGAAAGTAGAATGCAGCATCACAACATATCCCTACCATTGTCCTACCCATAGTGACATTTAAATGTTTCTGTGTGTTTGTGATACAGACACTGTGGCTATAGCAAGGCCTTCCAGGACTCTGATGAGGAGAAGATGCATTACCAGAATGGCCATGGTGCGTTGTATTATTATTACTAGTATATTATTATATTTCTATTATTATATGTCTTCACTCCAGTGGTAATAATGTTCATCCTCAGTGTACATAGTTCACTTCCCTTTTCATTCAGATTTTTTCAGGTAGAAATTCTCTCTCTCTGAGAGATATTTTCAAAGGTTATGTGGGTTTTCAAGTTCACATTTTTTTTTTTTTATATTCTCTCGCTCTTGCTCTCTCTCATGTAGCATATTGTTTCTATCCAGTGGTATGTGACCAGATGCTAATGTTGTTTATTTTAGTGTCATTCCCCGACGCACGTTTCTACATCGACCCACACACCTACGAGGACCCCTGCCAGGCCGTCCATGAGTTTGCCAGAGAAATTGAAGCTTCCAGGATCAAACTGGAGAAAATCATTGGCTCAGGTAAACTGAAAATCATTGGCTGAGGTAAATGCTGCGGTGTGCAGCGGAGAGGGATGGCACGGTGGAATCAGAGCGTTGCATGGGGCTATCAATCAAACACACCGGGAATACTAACATCATATTGGCACAGCAGGACATGGCAACACACAGGCGTCATAATCAGGTCTGTTAACAATGACCTTTAGAATGGTAGTTGTTGTTAAGACACAGAAGAGGAAAGGGGAAGACATGTAATGACGTGTTCTGGGACTTTTCAAAGCACAAAGGAGAAATATACCGTATATATATATTTTTGTTTTTGTTCTAATTAATTTTTCAATCAAAGGATACATCAGTCTATAATGTGGTCAGGGAGGCATATACTGTATATCAACCTGAATTGTGTGTTTGTGTGTGTGTTTATGTGTGTGTGTCTCCAGGTGAGTTTGGGGAGGTGTGTTACGGGCGGATGCGTCTCCCAGGGAAGAGAGACATTCCGGTGGCTCTGAAGACGCTGAAGGCAGGATACAGTGACAAGCAGAGGAGGGAATTCCTGGCCGAGGCATCAATCATGGCCCAGTTTGACCACCCTAACATCATCCACCTGGAGGGAGTGGTCACACGCAGTAAGATTCCAATTGTTTTGATTTGATTCAACTCCATTTTCAGTTTGGTGCAATTCAATTTATTTTCAGCTAAATTCAATTAAATGCAATAAGTAAGTTACCTCGTGTAAATTACTGTGGAATAATGCTTCCTGCCTCACTCCCTCCCCCTCACTCCCTTACTCCAGGTAAACCAGTCATGATCATCACTGAGTACATGGAGAATGGATCTCTGGACTCTTTCCTGAGGGTTTGTTGCTTTAATGTTTTTATATATACTGAACAAAAATATAAACACAACATGTAAAGTGTTCGTCCCATGTCTCATGAGCTGAAATGAATTATCCCAGAAATTTTCTATATGCACAAAAAGCTTACTTCTCTAAAATGTTATGCACAAATTTGTTTACATCCCTGTTAGTGAGCATTTCTCATTTGCCAAGATAATCCATCACCCTGACAGGTGTGGCATATCAAGAAGCTGATTAAACGGCATGATCATTACACAGGTGCACCTTGTGCTGGGGACAATAAAATGTGCAGTTTTGTCACACAACACAATGCCACAGAGGTTTTGAGGGAGCATGCAATTGGCATGCTGACTGCAGGAATGTCCACCAGAGCTGTTGCCAGAGAATTGTTGAATGTTGTTTAGAAAATTTGGCAGTACGTCCAACCAGCCTCACAAACGCAGTGTATGGCGTCGTGTGGGCGAGAGTTTTGCTGATGTCAACGTTTTGAACAGAGTGTCCCATGGTGGCGGTGGGATTATGGTATGGGCAGGCATAATCTACGGACAACGACCACAATTGCATTTTATCGATGGCAATTTGAATGCACAAAAATACCGTGACGAAATCCTGAGGTCCATTGTGAGGACAATTTTTTTTTTTAAGGTATCTGTGACCAACAGATGCATATCTGTATTCCCAGTCATGTGAAATCCATAGATTAGGGCCTAATTAATTTATTTCAATTGATTGATTTCCTCATACTCAGTAAAATTTTGTAATTGTTGCATGTTGCGTTTATATTTTTGTTCAGTATATTTTCCTGTGAAGCACATTGCATTGCATTCCATGTCTGAAATGTGCTGTATAAATAAAATAATGCTTGATATGGATTTGTTCTCTTTTTCACATACTTTCCCTCTTTCTATCAGATTCCCTCACTTACTTTCTCCTGTGAACACATTTTTAAATTGTTTTTGAAAGACTTGACATCAGAAATCTCAATCAATATGCCTGTAACGAATACTACAATCTCTCTCTCCATCTCAACCCCGTTCTACTCCTCTTTCCCCCTCCTCCTCTCAGAGACATGATGGTCAGTTCACTATAATCCAGTTGGTGGGCGTGCTGCGTGGCATTGCGGCGGGTATGACCTACCTGGCAGACCTGGGCTACATCCACCGCGACCTGGCAGCTCGTAACATCCTGGTCAACAGCAACCTGGTGTGTAAGGTGTCTGACTTTGGCCTGTCCAGAGTCCTGGAGGACGACCCCGACGCAGCATACACCACCAGTGTGAGTTCACACTCTAATGATAGCTCAATTCTAAAACTCTAATATGCACTAGGTTCTAATACTGTTGTAGCCCTAGTTCTCTAGTTCAGGTTCTGTTTTCTATTCCGTGGTGAAATGCCAGTGTCGGCTCTAGTGTGGTGCTGTTCCTTTCAGGGTGGTAAGATTCCGATCCGCTGGACGGCGCCGGAGGCCATCGCCTACAGGAAGTTCTCCTCATCCAGTGACGTGTGGAGCTACGGTGTGGTCATGTGGGAGGTCATGTCATACGGGGAGAGGCCATACTGGAACCTCACCAACCGAGATGTAAGTGGAGTGGACACACACACACACAAAAACACATGTACTGTATGTGTGTGTAATGATACCTGTGTGTGTGTGTGTGTGTGTGTGTGTGTAGGTGATAAAGTCAGTAGAGGAGGGCTACAGGCTGCCTGCTCCAATGAGTTGTCCAGGTGCTCTACACACTCTCATGCTGGACTGCTGGCAGAAGGACCGCAACGAGAGGCCTCGCTTCTGCCAGATTGTTACAGTTCTAGACAAGCTTATCCGTAACCCGGAGAACCTTAAGACCATGGACACACTGTGCAGGTGAGCAGACTGCTAGGCCACCATCGCCTGGGCAATACAGATTGCTTGGGAGGCATTGTCTGGACAACAGGTTGCAAATCCACTCTCAGTTCATCTGTCAAACATGAGCTGTGGGATAAAGTTACAGCCCAAAGTTTCCCTCAAACTTCCCCAGCTGATGCGAGGGAGACGAGTTGCCTTAGGGGAGCAAGGAACGGCCGTGTTCGTTTTCCAATAAGCTCATCTCTGATAGACGCGCTCTCTGTTAAATAAGAGCCTGCCTGTGATATTGACATTGATCGTTTTGGGAATCAGAGAGCAGAGAGAATAACGGCTGAAGCTAGAGTTGGACCCGTGTTAAATCGCTCCGTTCAGATCCCGGGTCCCAGATCCCTGGTGCATGTCAGGGGGAAAAATGGGAGATGGAGGGAAGAAGGGGGTGTTAAGGATTTCTCCCTGAATTAATCTAGCCAAACCAGCCATCCTGCAATCAGAGCAGCCACCTATTCTCTATCATTTTAACTGCTATTGATTTTCTGCCTTAGCTGCTAGTGCATTTCAATACCTTTTGTTCATCTCTCTCTTTCTTTATGCCTACCCTCTCCCTTTTCTCTCGCTCTCTCTCTCGCCCCCAGGTTAGGCACACCTCCCATGATGGACAGAAGTATCCCAGACTTCAGCAGCTGTAGTTCTGTGGATGAGTGGCTGGATACCATCAAGATGGGCCGATACAAGGACCACTTTGCTGTAGGAGGCTACCTGACCTTGGGCCACGTCATAGGCATGAACCAAGGGTAAGGGGCCAGGCCACAGCTTCACATTGACACCACACTACAGTCCTACTCTCACAACATCACACTCTAATCACATTATCCAAATGGCATGGATGCAGTTGCCATAAAGTGCTTAACAGTAACTTGGTCTGTCACATATCTGTCACACGTCTGTGTGTTTATCATATCTGATGTGTGTTAATGCATGTGATCACTGATGTGTGTGTGACTTTGTTCCATCTCTGTGTCCTACAGGGATATCCACAGGCTGGGGGTGACACTGATGGGCCACCAGAAGAAGATCATGACCAGTGTACAGCTAATGCGTGTTCAGGTGCTCAACAGGAGTGTGCCCTCAGTGCACGTGTAACTTCAGCCTCCAAGCTTCACCAGCCAGCCGAATGTCAAATCTAGCCCCAGGCTTCTGAGGCCTAGTGGAAGTTCCTGGGAATAGATATAGATCTATGGCTATCAGAGAAACTATAAGAGGAGTGTCTGGGTGACATTCTGGTGAACTTTTCAAGACTTCTTCTTTGAGAGATTGAAACTTCCAGAGCACGGATATGAAGGGACTCGAGTACAGTAGCCTATCAAGCCCATGGGACATTTTCATCTTTGTTTTTCCTATTCAGAAATGCTTTGTGAGTTCTATGTCTTGTTTGTAAAAATGGATGGACTGCCTTAATCTCCACAGACAATTTACATTTTGTTGTATACAAAGAGAGATTTTATGAATTTATCAGAAGAGTATGTTATAATGGATCTGAGTGATAACCTAGCATACAGTAAGAGAGAGACTGACAGGGGCTGGAGCATTGAGCTGTGTCCCCAAGCACATAGTCTCCTATGGTTCCCCTGAGAACTGGCCCATGGCCCCAAAACTGACATGGCACAAGAAGACCCTGCACCTGACAGTGGACAAACAGCAACAACCCAGTTGACTCACCAGAAGTCCCAAGTCTCCTCAATCGAGGAGGAGACCAGTTTCAACAAGAGAGACAAACTCACACATAAACCTTTGAATGACCATGGGAGAGAAGCATTGTGTTCTCTCCCTGTTACAGCTGCGTAGCGCACAACTACTGTAGAAAATCTGTATGGATGATGACTTACTGTGATTTGTCACTGTTTTGACTCTGTGGTGGTTAGAAGGAAAAAACTAAGAATAGGGAAAGTTCTGTATGTGGAATGTTTTTATCTAATTACCCTGAAAACAATATTATTTATGGTCCTAGTTTCCCTGTGCAATCAAGAGAATGCTTTTCTTGTGCACCTCTGTAGGACTATACTTGGTGGTCGTGTCTCTTTTTATTAGAGAAGAACCTCATATTCCCTGAATATGCATTGCATAACTATGGTGTCATTTTAAAAATGTTTCCGGATCTTTCTTGAGATGCTTTCAAAAAATATAGAAATTCCATATTTTATCAAAGTATGTTTTGTTAGATTAATCTTTCAGTTTGTCAATACCATTACATACCTACAGTCACAGCAATACAACTGGATTTACTCACGTCTGTCTGAAATTAGGTCTATTTGCTGTCAAACTAAATTAAAAAGACAAAGGCTTTTTGCAAAGATTGATGGATCATCCTTGTTTCTAATGTTGAATCATAAAATGTGCAAATATTCCATGATGACACAATAAAGAAAAAAAATCTGTGTGTGTGTGTGACTGAAACAGCGATACACTTCTGTATGCATAGCTCAATGCTGATAGAGTCCACTACAATGACTGATCTGGGAATGAATAAAACGGGTTTAACACAACAACTGACCTGTCTCGCCTGGGATGTTGCAGAATTTTACACATTGCGATTCGGAACACAACACCATGACTAATCTAGGAATTAATTAAATTCATTTAACACAACAGGGTTGGGGTTATGGTAATGGAGAGATGTAGATGTGAAGCGGTTAGGCCAAGATTCAATCCGATTGTGGGTTATAGCAGCTTTTAAAGGCTATTTCCAATTGATCTGACATGCAGCGTTTACCGTGAAAGGGATCCCCACCAACATTGCCGTTAAAAGCTGCAATGCCTATAACCCGCGATCGTATTGAATCTCGGCCTTAGGTTTAGGATTAGGGTAATGAATAGGGTTAGAGTTATGGTAATGGCTAGGGTTAGGGTTGAGCCGGGGTGTGACCTTGAAATTACACCTTCCATCCCTGGATTGAGGTACGTTTTAAACCATTTCACTTGAACCTAGGGCTGCGTAAATCGGCTCTATCGGAAATGACCTTTACATTTCAATTGCGCTATAACTTCGGTGGTACGGATTGAATCGAGCCCCTACAACGTGGCAAAATCACAACATTGTGGTTCTAAATGCTTTGATCTGACTGGGACTGCTTGAACAAAACCTGTTTGCAGGTCGGAAACAACAGACTGACTGCTTGACTTGTTGTTGCTGAGTGCGTCTGTGCTTCTCTTTGCCCTGAAACTTAATTTCAACCACAGAAAGAAAAGAAAAAATATCAGTGTTGGATCTTGGTCAGGGTGTCTGAGTAATTGTCCTCTCGTTTACCTTCGGGAGAGCTGTATGGAGCTAATCCTCTCCTTGGTGAAATGAGACTGAACAGAACACTATTAATCTCATTAATACGGCCGTGTGCTTTGTTACCATGGAGTCCCACGCCCAATTATCAGTCGCTGACCCATCCCCATGATGACGCAGTGCCCCTCCCACTCATTATGACTGTGAGTGTTCTACACTGTCCCCTGGTTGACTTCTCGGAAGGGGCGACACACAGAGTGGGCCATGAGTCATGACGGGAGTGTATTTGCTGTTTGTTATCGCTAATACCCAGGTCCTCATCGCAAACGAAACTGCCAACAATAGAGATTCATTATAATCCTCAAGCATTTAATGTAAAACTGCCTGTCAACAATGCAGATTCATTAAAATGCGCAAGCATTCAATGTAAATTTCATCCACTATATAATGAAGTCTTTGTGACCAACCTTGGAACAATGCAACACTAAATATAGATTACTGTGTATCCTAATGTGCTGCTGTCAATGCAGCACATCCAAGAACCAATTATGTTTGCCAAGACACAGAGCCAGAAGGGACTGTACAATACTGTGTATTGTTAGCTGGTTGTTTCAGATGTTATTGTCAAGGTATGTGTCTTTGGCAGCACGGTGTGATTGTGGGTTAGCTGTTGTGCTAATTGGCTGCTGCAGTAGCCTTGTCTGACATCTGAAGACAGATGGGGAGATTGAGACAGTTCAGGCAGTACATGATAGAGTGCTGAGAGGCTTAAAGGTAGAAGGTCAGGATGTGAATCTCCTACCACTTCAATAACTGCACTCAGCTCCTACTGATGCCTCCATCTCAGTCTTATTCTGAAAATTGGAAGAATCATGTCTACCTTCTATATTTAAATACTAGGGGTGTAACGATTCGTTTTAACAACGATTCGATTTGTATCACGATTCGTGGTTGTCGATACGATTCAAGGACGATATTGGTTCATTTAGAACGATACGATCCGAAACGATTCAGTGACTTGAAATCGATTCAGTAACCTTTTAGCCAAAAATTCAACCAGTGTGACTGAAATAAATACCTGGATACTGGACAGTGCAGGTGAAGTTTCCTAGATTCCTGTTTCTTGTAAGGACCGTAATGGTGGCTTGATAATTTCTCGCTCGTCGGCTTCTCCTCTGTCGTCCGCCATGCTATGTTTTGTTGTCTTTGCGCTGCTGTTGGCGCGATGACGTCAAGGATAGGCAGACTGAATCGAGTAATGTTTAAAGCCTTTATCATTAAAAGTGCTAAGAAAAAACATCCATATAAAGTCTGACGTGCTTAAATCCAATGGATTATTTCCTAGTATCGATACAATCGATTTATTACATTTTAAAACGATGTTAGATCGATATATGTTGTCCAAAAGGCCAACTCGCTGAGCACAGATCGATGTAGTTGGATCATAGGATTATAAATCGATACATCGATGTAGTAGATGGATCGTTACACCCCTATTAAATACCTAACTGACTAAATCAAATCAAATACAAAATCTAATTTTATTTGTCACATACATTATCTAACAGTAATATCTAACAATTTCACAACATATACCCAATACACAAGGAATGGAATTTAAGAATATATACATATATGGACAAGCAATGACAGAGCTGCATGGACTAAGATACAGTATAATATTATAGAATAGAATGCAGTATATACATATGAGATGAGTAGTGCAAGATATGTAAACATTATTAAAGTGACTAGTGTTACCTTTCTTAAAGTGACCAGTGATTTCAATAGGCAGCAGCAGCAGCCTCTAATATGCTAGTGATGGCTATTTAACAGTCTGATGGCCTTGAGATAGAAGCTGTTTTTCATTCTCTTGGTCCCAGCTTTGATGCACCTGTACTGACCTCGCCTTCTGGATGATAGCGGGGTGAACAGGCAGTGGCTCGGGTGGTTGATGTCCTTGATGATCTTTTTGGCCTTCCTGTGACATTGGGTGCTGTAGGTGTCTTGGAGGGCGGGTAGTTTGCCCCCGGTAATGCGTTCGGCAGACCGCACCTCCCTCTGGAGAGCCCTGCGGTTGCGGGCGGTGCAGTTGCCGTACCAGGCGATGATACAGTCCGACAGGATGCTCTCAAGTTTGTGAGGTTTTTAGGTGCCAAGCTGAATTTCTTCAGCCTCCTGAGGTTGAAGAGGCTCTGTTGCGCCTTCTTCACTACACTGTCTGCATGGGTGGACCATTTCAGTTTGTCGGTGATGTGTACGCCAAGGAACTTGAAGCTTTCCACCTTCTCCACTGCAGTCCCGTCAATGTGGATAGGGGGGTGCACCCTCTGCTGTTTCCTGAAGTCAACGATCATCTCCTTTGTTTTGTTGACGTTGAGTGAGAGGTTATTGTCCTGGCACCACACTCCCAGAGCCCTCACCTCCTCCCTGTAGGTGGTCTCGTCATTGTTGGTAATCAAGCCTACTACTGTTGTGTCGTCTGCAAACTTGATGATTGAGTTGGAGGCGTGCTTGGCCACGCAGTCATGGGTGAACAGGGAGTACAGGAGGGGGCTGAGCACGCACCCTTGTGGGGCCCCAGTGTTGAGGATCAGCGAAGTGGAGATGTTGTTTCCTACCTTCACCACCTGGGGGCGGCCCGTCAGGAAGTCCAGGACCCAGTTACACAGGGCGGGGTTCAGACCCAGGGCCTCAAGCTTAATGATGAGCTTGGAGGGTACTATGGTGTTGAATGCTGAGCTATAGTCAATGAATAGCATTCATACATAGGGATTCCTCTTGTCCAGATGGGATAGGGCAGTGTGCAGTGTGATGGTGATTGCATCGTCTGTGGATCTATTGGGGCGGTAAGCAAATTGAAGTG